AATAGTCCAATCCTTCATATATGACTTGGCACAATCGCTATTTTTCTAGACCGTGATGAGGACATTGGATTAAAAGATCTTTAAATCGATCAAAGTATTTTCAGAATGGCTCTCCCGGGATAATTTTGAAATTCTGAATGCTGTTTCTAAGCTTTACCGTTTTGTGAATAGGGAAAAATTTCTTGAGAAAAACGGTGACAAATTCCTCCCAAGTTGAGATGGAATTTATCGGTAAGCTGTACAGCCATTTTTTAGCTTTGTCCTTTAGAGCAAATGGAATAAATCTAAGCTTAATCGCATCTTCAGTTAATTCTCTCATTTTAATCATAATACATACTTTCTCAAATTCCGAGATAAATATATATGCATCTTCTGTTTCATTACCTAGGAATTTGGGAAGCATGTTAATGAAATGCGGTCTAAGCTCGAAATTTGCTCCATTTACTTCGGGGAGTCTTATGCAAGATGGAATTGCATTTCTGGTGGGGTAACACATATCCTGAAGAACGGGCTGATTTGCCATTTCTTGGATTGGTTCAACACGGATTAAGCGATGAAAATTATCCCGAACCCAAATTTGCATACACCAAAACAATATTTTTTTTTTTAGGAAAGAAAGAAAGAAAATTAGTTTTTTTTTTTAAGGAAAGAAAGAAAGAAAATTAGTTTTTTTTATATGAAAAGATAAAGAAAAAGAAAAATCCTAACTAAAACAAATCAAGGCAATCACTTTTCAATCAACTCTAACTCTAGGGTTTAGCCTAACTCCACTAGACCAGCTTCTAACCAAAAATTCCTACAGTGAAAAGATCAAAGTTTTACCCAGACAGTTAGCCAGGTAAGGATAGTACTAGAGGGTGATCAAAGATCAATTAAGTACCTCTTTCCTTGCGGAGCGCTTTACGCAACCCCTAAACCTTGCCTTAGACACCAACTATTCTGAGAAAACTTAAACCGTTCACTTAAGGATTTCTTGTTCCTTATTGAGCTCGAATCCTTAGGGGCCAACGTCTAATGAGTTTTAGAAGGCTTGGATTTGTGAAGTGAGGAATTAGTGATTTGTGGGCTAAGGAAAGGGTGATGAAATCCCTTACCTTATCTTGATTGGGGTTTTGCCCTTAAGAATGATTTAAGTGTGTGCCAAATCAAGTGCTACAATCACTTTGGTGAATTCCTACACTATATGAAATGCAACCCTAGAAATTAAAAGCGACTAAAAAGGATGGTAAAAAGAAAATCTTTATATTTTTTTAATTATGGTCAACAATAATCAAAAGTGAGAAGGGGAAAATTGTTTGAGTTTATTATCTTGTTAGTTAATATCTAAGTGAAAGATGGATTTTATTATGGTCAACAAAAATAAAATCTTTTTTTTTAAATCCTAATTGTCTCTAATTGTGAAGCTAGCTAAAGAGGGTGGAATTGAAAACTAGAAAGAAGACTTACCCGAAAGCAATGCTCCAAATTCTTGATCTTCAATCCAAGATTTTCAAGCTCCAAGCGGTTCCTTCACAAGAAAAATACACAAGTTAAAGAATCAAGTTAATAAAATCCTATTTTAGCACCTTCCCCGGCAACGGCGCCAAAAACTTGATGCGGCATAATTATGTACCAAAATTGCAAGTGCACAATTTATCAAGTTATAGTATAAAAAGATATCGATCCCACGAAGAAGGTGATTTTAAGAGATTATTAAACTTGGTTCTTATATTTTGTGCGTGACAATTAGGAATAAAGAATAAGTGTGATTGTATGAGTGGTTGTTTTGATTTATATGCAAGAGGTAATAAATTGAATTTTAGAGGAGAGAAGGAAGAATTAAAGAATAAATGAAATCACAAGGCAAGAAATATGAATTAATAAAATCAAGAAATAAAACCAAAAATGAAAAGAAAATTTAAGAAAGTTAAGATGAAGGATTCAAAAGAGGTAAGAAATCTAGAATATAATCCACTAACCAATTTCAATTACAAAATATAAACTATTCTCTTTTTATCATATTTCAACTTAGATTTATTAAGCATAGATTATCAAACCATTTAAGGAAAGTGTAACCTATCAAATTATCATCTAAGTTAAAATTACTATTCATGATAAGAACAACAACATGATAATAATCCTAGAATTCATAAGCATAACCTATCAAACCATTTAAGGAAAGCATAGATTATCAAATTCTTCTTCTACCGATTAGTTCTCTAGTTGATTATCCTAAACATGAACATTTTAAGTACAAGAGAATAATTCATACAATATAAAAGAAATTAAACTAGTTTCATACAATTCTTAAGTACAAGAGAATAATTCATACAATATAAAAGAAATTAGACTAGTTTCATACAATTCTAAGATTCTTACAAGAATTAAATTCACATCTTAAGAAATAAAAACAAGAAAAAGAAGACTAATTACAAGATTAAAAAGAAAAGAAAAATCTAAACTATAAACAAGAAATAAATCTAATTACAAAGAAAATAAAAATCTAAACTACAAAATAAATTGCAGAAATTAAATGCAAGAAAAATAAATCTACTCTACAAATTAAAGTGCAAAAAGAAAATAAAAAAAAAAGACAAGAAAGTAAATCTCTACAAGCATGAATTTAAATCTAACTAATAAGCAATAATAAAGAAATTACTAAAAAGAAATAAAAGAGAAAAGAAATGCAAACCTTCAAATTGCTCTTCATCTCCATCCTCATCATTCAACAAGAGGAGAAAGAACAAATTTAAAGAGAAAAAAATTATTTTTATTAATTGCAACTAAAGTTATAATTTTTGGAAGGCCTTCTCAATTAAGAGTAGCCCTCCTCTCCAAAAGGAGTTTACAAAATTTTCACACCTCTAACCCCTCACTCTCTACCCCTATTTATAGTAAACATCAGTGGATGAGAGCCATTGGATTCAAATCTTATCCAAAACCAACAAAAATCAGCCATTGGATTGTAACTGCCTAGACGTCCGTATCGATACCCACATCGATAGGGGTATCGATGCGGGCATCGATACAGGCATCGATGCGGGCATCGATGCCCCCATTGATGCAGGCATCGATGCCTGCTCTTCTCCTGTTACTGTCCGCAGAACTCGCTTGTGTCTTGGGCTTTGGCTTGGACTTTTGGGCTTGGCATTTTCTCTTGATTTTCCATTGCTTGATTTTCCATTGGGCTTTGAATTATTTGAAAGAATTCCTTTGGCTTCATGGGCTTCATTTCTTCATTAAGTCAAGGGGTTTTTGTTGAGATATTGGAGTTTGAGATTTATTCATCATTAACCTGCAATTAACAGATAAAAGCAATTATTAGTGGTATATTTATTCATATAAAATAGATAATGAGGGTATAAAAATTATAATAAAATGTGATTATCAGCGAGCTCGCCGTCAGAGTAGTGGAAGAGCAGGCCAACGTGGATGAGGGACTGGTGGTCGACGACGCAGAACCGGAGGTGTGGGGGTCAAAGATGGTGAGGTTGACGTAGGAGTTGGAGTAGGCGGAGTAGAAGAGGCCTCAGAGGGAGACGGGGGAGGGGGAGAGCCAGAGGTGGAGGATGCGGTAGATGCCAGCAAGGTGGTGGAGGAAGGTGTCGTGCTTGTGTCAGCACTCTTGCCCGGCGCGGTTGTACTTGTCGAGGAAGAGGGCTGGAGAGGCAGGTCACGCCGGAGGCGCGTGTGTCCGACAGGAGGGATGATGTCTCCACGGGAGGAAGGGAGAGCGAGAGCGGAATAACCAACTCTCTCTCTCCTCTCCCCTCTTCTTCTCATCAACCTAAGCAAGATAACCCATTATCAATCAACGATGACAGCTCTCTTTAGAGCATTGTGGCAAGATTTATGTTGGTTTTAGATAGCATGTCACGTGGGGGGGGGGGTGTTTTGGGGGCTAGAGGAAAATCGTGCCGAGTTTTTGGGGTAGAACACCGTTGAAAAGTCTTGGGCGTGGGACACACGTTCTGACGCATTTTAGGGGCTGGAAGCATTTTTCCCTACAAAATATGCTACATTTAAAGATTAATATAAAAAAAACTCTTTAAAATTATGATGATTTGTAGACGATGTCTGTGGATTGTTTTGGCACCATACCTGTTATAGGTTGCCTTAAATACGAAAATCCATATTGTTTTAGGAATTCCTTTTTTTTAGGTTGGTTTATTTTGATTAAGAGTCCTACTTACATTAGACTTTGCACAACCAATCATATTAGAGATTTATTTATACTTGGACTATTGTTGAGTTTTAGGACATGTTGGCTTCTATTCCTATTAGAACTCTTATTCCTTAGACAACAAGGAGCTGGGATCTTCAAGGCTATATAAGAACAGTCTTTCAAGCCAATTAGAATCATCAATCTTCAGAGCACCAATCAAGAAAAAAAGTTTTTTTTATGAAGCCTATTTGATATTCTTCTCTTTTGTTCCTTTTATTTAAAGAGATTGTACGGGAATTTTGAGGTGCTATTTGGGATTGAGAGATTGAGAGATTCCACTTTATATTTATCACAATTAGTAAAGCTTTTCTCCTTCTTCGCTCGTGGACGTAGGCTACAAGCTGAACCACATATATCTTTATATTTGTGTGTTCTCGATATTTTTCGTGCTCTCATGTGATTGATATTAGCTTATCCTGGGGAATTTGTAATAACATTACCATACTTGCCTTTTAAACAATTAACGGCGTCATTTCTTACTCTCTGAACTACTTTTACTCCTGCATCACCCCTAAACCATGGAATTCGTCTCTTACTCAAATTTGTTTCTATTTTAAGTACGTAGTTATCACTTATCATTTATTAGTTTTAAATGAGAGGGCATTCTTCTTGAAAATTTGGGACCAATACTTGTAGTTTGAGTAACAAATTGTCGACCATTTGTTTATTAGCCTCGTGCTGCAACCGTTTTAATTGATTAATGTCAAAGACGCACCCCCCACGTGTCCTCTACATAGTAATAATTCTGTAGCCACCTAGCTTCTGTAAATACAAACTAGAGAGAGAGAAAGAGAGAGAGAGAGAATTTTTTTTCAAGGATCTCCTTTGGCTTCTTTCACAATTAATTTTGGATCGACACAATTATCTCAGAGAGAGAGAGAGAGAGAGAGAGAGGAGAGAGAATGTGGCCATTGAGCAGGAAAGGGCCATCTGGGTTCTCATCATCTTCAACAGCAGAGCAAGTTACAGAGGGAGTTGATGGAACTGGCCTCACCGCCATTGTCACTGGTATCCAATTTCTTTCCCTCAAAGAAAAAAAAAATACTTTCATGTACATGTAATTCTTTCAGAGTACTTACTTTGTTTTGAGTTGCTGTTTGAGCCATTACACTTATTTACGGGTTATTTCCCTTCAAAACTTAGTAAAGAAGTAGTGCATCTTGGAGCCAAATCAATTAATTAATGTTTTTTTGTAGCTTGGTTCACTGAAAATAGAAAAGATATGAAGTACCCAACTCAAGAAATTGGGCTGCAATATCCCTGGACTTAGCCTCACGTATGCTTAAGCAATTTATTTAACATGAGAAATCAATTTCAGAAAATGACACCTCGAAGAGTCATCGTTAAGAACTCTTCCCCGTGATAATAATTTTATATTCGAACATGCCCTATTTAAAACATACAAGGAAGAAAGAGGGCCTGGGTAGTAAAAATCTGTCGTTCCAGAGTGATTCGTATTATCATTAGTTTTACAAAAAAAAAAATTTAATTTGTTGGAGTTTAACTAAAAAAAGTTTGCTGCTTTGGGCATGGCTCTGGTGTAGTATTTATTTCCTCGGCTAATTGAGTACCTACACAGGAGCATCAAGTGGCATAGGTACTGAGACTGCTCGAGTTCTTGCACTGCGTGGTGTCCATGTTGTTATGGGAGTGAGAAACTTGGCTGCTGGTAATACTGTTAAAGAAGCAATTGTGAAGGGAGTACCTGCTGCTAAAGTTGATGTACTCGAATTAGACCTCAGCTCGCAGGCATCAGTGAAGAAGTTCGCTTCCGATTTTGGCTCCTTGAATCTCCCGTTGAATATTCTGATGTCAGAAATCCCATATCTTTTGCTCCTTTTGCTCATGTTTACCTCTTGTAGTTTGTTCTTTGTAAATTAATTCCTGTAATTTATCTTTTATGAACGATAAATGATTGTTTTCCTCTTTTTCTAAAGCAACAATGCAGGAATTATGGCTACTCCCTACTTGCTATCGCATGATGGAATAGAGCTCCAGTTTGCAACAAATCATATTGGTATGTAGTTCACGGTTAAAAGGGCTCATCCTTGGTACAGAAAGTCGGAATCTTATTACATAGAACATAAGAGTTGATTTGGCTGAACCATTTGAAGATACGGCCATCTATTATTGTGACCTCGTCCAGAGGAACCGATGGACGTAAAGAATAATAGATATTTCCTGAAGCACATAAAGATGAGATCTTAATTTTTGAGTTACTATCTCCTCAAAACATAAATTATAAAGTGGAAAAATATTTCTACTCTTTCCTTCTTGTTAGTGCGAACAAAGGCTGTCTATCCTATATTGAGTTGCTCCTGAACTGTTATTGCTACGCAACTGATTTTGGAAGATAAGTCTGTGAGCCTTATTTGTTTGGATATTTGTCCAAAAATCATATCAAAACATCTATTGGACTGGTCATATCGTTTCCTTCGAGTCAATTGCATGTTTCTGAGTACTTACCTTTTTTTCAACTATATGAGGATGGAAGTTTTAGTTTTGCAGTTTAAATTAATATATCCTATTTGTGCATCATTCGCTTTGTTGCCTTGTTTTTCAGGTCATTTTCTTCTAACAAATCTTTTGTTGGAGAACATGAAGGATACATCCCGTAAAAGTAATACTGAAGGAAGGATTGTCATTCTTTCATCAGAGGGCCACAGAATGACCTACCCCTGTGGGATTCGTTTTGATAAAATCAATGAAGAGAAGGGGTAATATTAGGAATTTGGCACTGATACTTTTATGCTCATTATCTTTGAGTAGTATGTTGCTATTGTCTATGTCTTTCTCCTTCGGTTTCGAGCCATATATGTGAACTGGTTCTAATGCTTAAACGATTAACTTTTTTGCAGATATGTCAATTATCTTGCTTATGGCCAGTCCAAGCTTGCAAACATTTTGCATGCAAATGAGTTGTCTTGGAGGCTTGAGGTATTCTCTTTCTTTTATTTGACCAGATATTTTAAATAATGTGCCATTTCCCACATATTTTAAATTACGTGCCATTTCCTGGATAATTTGTATGCAAGAACATGATCATCGGATATGACAAGTATTTTCCAAGCAAAAATTCATCACCACTATCATGCATATTTTTTAAGATATGAAGAGTTAGCATGGATCAGTGTGACTATTGGGTTTTTATGCAAATGAGTTGTCTTGGAGGCTTGAGGTATTCTCTTTCTTTTATTTGACCAGATATTTTAAATAATGTGCCATTTCCCACATATTTTAAATTACGTGCCATTTCCTGGATAATTTGTATGCAAGAACATGATCATCGGATATGACAAGTATTTTCCAAGCAAAAATTCATCACCACTATCATGCATATTTTTTAAGATATGAAGATTTAGCATGGATCAGTGTGACTATTGGGTTTTTATGCATATTACAAAAGGTAAAACAGCACAATCATAATATGACTCATAAAATATTAGTTTTTGACATTAACAAAGGTTTCTGTTCGACAAAGTTGCCAAATTTAGATAGGGAAAACATTGTGGATTACGTAAAATTTAGATAGGAGCAGTTGTCGTGCTTCATTGAAACTTAGAATGAAAAATGTTCTGGTCAGGTAATTTAGAAAAGCTATCATGACCTCTCCAAATGAACTAAAAAACTACAAAACAAGCATGCATCAGCAACTTGGCAGAATTGCCATTTGAGTAGAGAATCAGGAATCAGGAATCAGGATTTGGCATGAATAGATTCTAAAACAATGAAGTCCGACACCAAACTAGATCTTGGATCAATAAGCAACGGATCATATAGCCATTGATTCAAACAAAAAGTAAGAACTTTATGTTTTTGGGTGCACGTTGTAATTTTCATTTGCACATGTACACACATACAAACATGAATAATACCTACTCTGCCACATTATACCTTCCATCCCCACCTATAAAACCTGACCATCTATGCATAAAAGAAATTGAAGATATAAAACATAAGTAATAATAGGGGGGGAAATGAAGAAAGGTCAAGAAGTAGAGTAAAAACAGCGTGCGGACATACACACGTTGAGCAAAAAGGATTATTTCTATTTTACCTTTCAAGCATGAATGCTCATGTTCTGGTTAAGGGGGCATATTTTGAACTCTGTCATATGTAGTTCTTCTGCATGTTGTTGTTACTTTTCCTTCCACAATTGTACAGGTTTCCCCCATTTCTTTTCCACAGTTGCAAAGTTTTTGTGTCACATTGTTGCTTTCAGATCTTAATGAACAATTCTTTATTGTTAAACAGGAGGAGAAGGTCAACATAACTGCTAATTCAGTTCACCCAGGAGTTATCGTCACCAATCTTTTTCGCCATCATAGGATCATAAATGGTAAGGCATGATACGAATTGAGAAGATGATATTGATTAATATTGAAATGGTTTCTCCCTATGAAACATGGGGTCAGTTATCCTCTTATATAACTTATCATCATTTACTGTTTCATAGTGAATTTAAGTAATAACTTATCATCATTTACTGTTTCATAGTGAATTTAAGTAGGACTTTGTCCATGAAATACTTTAGTACGGAAAACTCCTGAACTCAAGCATCTCTAAGCCTATTCAAATATGATATTCTGTGCGTGGAGCTATTGCAGGCATCATGAGTACCATTGGCAAGTTGGTCATGAAAAAATGTTCAGCAGGTTGATATTCTATTTTTTTGTAGCTGCTCATATGTATTGCTTAGCAGATGTAATGCACTATACTTGTATGTTTCGCTTTCATGCACAGCCTTCCGCTATTCTGTTTTGAACTGCATACTTGTCGCTACTTGCGCCTTATATAGTATAGTAAATTATATAAGTATATATTATATAGAGAGCAGAGAGAGAAGAGCGAGAAATATGGGAGAACGCTTGGTAACAGTTGTTTAAAACAACTTGGTAGTGATGTGGCCTGAATCTTGACCCTACATCACATCTCGAAGATAAGAGGCTCAACCACGCCTTCACCACTCCAATGTAGATGTAGGTGTCAAGGATTAGGCACATCATACCAGTTGCTTGAAGCACTTGGGTACCCAAGTTTCTCCATTTTTCTCATAATATATATATATATATATATACAGGATATAGAATATGAGAGAGGAGAGAGAGAGAAATGGTATCTTGGTACCGAAGGCATAAAAGTGGTGCTGGTAGGAGGTGCATAATTCCTCCACTCATTCAAACTGGTTTGCATATCCCTATGCAATTCGCTCAATTCATGTGATGTGGTCTCCTATTGAATGAGTGAAGGGGATTGTGGCCACCTCATACAAGCACAAAATTTATGCTGGTACCAGCATACCATAGTTTCTCATATTAATATATATATATATATATATATATAATATATAATATATATATATAGTATATATAGGTATAATATATATAATATATAATTAAATTTAACCCATTGTCCTAACCCTTTGAATAGGGTCCATTATTCTTCCTTCTTGATGGGCTTTGTCTAGAAAATAGATATGTTCATCTCTTTGCCCCACCATAATCAAAATTATTCATGTAATTTTTTTAGGGTATAAATTGTTATGCAGTTTCTGGCACTACCTTCCAATCTAAGACAGGATTTCTGGTGATCATTGTTCAATTAGTCATTATGAAATCCATCATCATCGTCGTAAAATCCAAAACCAAATCCTTTTTTCATATCCGTATGTTAACATCAAACCTTTTTTCTCACTATTATGAGCTAATCAACAAGTAGCATATACTTTTTGGCGGTACTCATTGAGATCTATCCTTAAAACTACTTGCTCTTCCAGCTTTAATATGCAATCGTGTCAGTCCTAATAACCACCCCCATTGACCCATCAGTCGAAGTGACCTTTAACTTGTTATGTCAGGCCTCTTTTATTATTCTATCTTTAAACATATTGATTCCCTAATTAGCACCCCACCCCCACCCCCCCGCCCCCCAAAAACAAAAAAAACCCAAAAAAAAACCAAGACGAAAGGCTGCAATAGTGACATGTGTCTCCTCCGTATATGAATTTATACTTTCTCCAGTTACTGTATCCAATTAGTCTCTAGTGCACAAGTCGTCCATACCATCTTAACAACTTTCTTTCTCACCTGTTTTATTTCTCAATGGTGGTAAAAAACTCCGACCAATTCTTTAAAATGTATGACACTGGCGCTAGTACATCCTAGACGGAAAAAGCCGTCACTTAGGATACCCAGCCAATTCCATCTAGTGATGTGTATCCTTAGCGGGAGCAACAGTTACCGTCACTTAGAATACTCCCGTAGTTTATTTCCGTCTCTAGGACCTGTACGTATGTCTGACGGAAATCCGTCTAAATACGATCCTAGACCGAATATCTAGACGAATTCCAAAACCGTCTAGATACATCCTAGCGGATATTCTAGACGGAAATGATTTTTTTATTTTTTTATATTCTAAAAATGTATGTTCCTAGAGCGGAATTTGAGGGTATCCTAGACGAATTTCCCGTCCTAGATATTATATCTACCAGTAGTTTCTTTTTTTTTCGTTTTGCCAGAATCTGACGTTTGTTGATCGTACACTAATATTGATATCAACAAAAAATTAGCATCATATGCCAAACACAATCTAATTATATTCCAATATCAAATCAAATTTATTCAAATAATACATCATCTCACAATACTATGAAAATTCTGTATTACAACTTTTAGATCAAGTTATGTTACCAATTCACATAGATTTTCCTTCGCAATCAACTCGTCATCATGCGACCACTCTTCTTATAAGCCCAAGCCCTAATCTCTCTGTCTGCCTCTTGCCTGGCTCAATCGTCCTCCTTCGCCGTCTGATTCTAGAATGATCGCCAGTCATTCTTGCGCTTTTTCACCCTTCTTGGAACGAAAACAAAACATTAGATCTCTCAGCTGACCAAAGCTTTAAGCAAGGGTCACTTTGATCTTGCAGAAAATAAAAATTACATTCAATAATGTGTACTAGGGGAAACAACATTTGTAACGAGCTAACCAGTGAGGGGACATGAAATTGGCCCGTTACATAGACCAAGTTATTAGACAAATAGACAACAAATGATATCATTGCATCCTTAGTAGAACTACGAATGTTATCTCAAGTATCTGACCATGCACAGTAGATCCTTAAACCAAATTAAGCTCATAAGCTTTTCCCTATCTGTGCCACGGAGTCGTAGAACAACAACACAACACAGAGTAGCTGCAACCAATAAAAACATGAAAACAAAAGAAAGACGCTTGTCAACAAGAGTATGCAAACATCTATGACAGTTCAACTCCTAGATTTGTAAGCAGCATTTGTTCCAGGCTGTCGGTCTGTCAATCATGGCACTACATATTCTATTGTGGATATTTCCTCTCTCTACAAAAAATGGACCATTTACAAACATAGTTCAGAGGAGCAGAAAATCAAACAAATATCTCCCGCCATGAAGCACATATCAGTTAGGGGGAGAATAGAGTCGTGTTCTTGTTAGAAAATCAAGAGGGCCAAACACCATATAAATCCAAACACAAATAAAGATACCACTATGCAACAAGCCAGTTAATTTTCAACTACACGATAGTAATCTTTGGACCTATAAAATCAAATTTTCATGTATTCTACCTCGTTATGATTATTGTGAAGAGAATAGGCCTACATGGAGAGATAATGGTGCAAACAAACCCGCTTACTGTGCGAGTTTGGTAAATTCATCTCATCTCCGTTGATCCCCCTGCCTCCCTTGCTAACCCTATCTTGCAGGAGATGATGCCTCAAGAGCATCTACACCAACAACCAAAACCATAAAAACCTTAATTCTTATAAGAAAAACGCAACATTCAACTCTAATTCTCAAATACATTTCAGGCGCACTTTCAACGAGGAAATATTCTTCCTACTTAGTCACTGAAATCCAAACTTATCCAATAATGTTTATAGGGAGAAAATCACATGTAGAAATCTTTTGATCAACCAAACTGGTTGGAAACTCTCCATACTGCACTTGATACTTCAAACTGTGAAACGCTCTGAAACCAAACTGATACATATAACATGTATTAGCAAAAACCAAGTCTTCAAACTAAATCATACGGCCTATGAACCAGGTCTGTCCATGGACTAAGCAACTTTGTTACATTAATGGAGGTTTGATAATAATAAACTTCAACTGCTGGAAATCAATTGCTATGATTTGCTTTTCATCCGAATACCTTCATTTGGTTGGTTATGTTCTTCAAATCCAATTTTATATATTATGACTAATGCTATGCTAAGCTTAGAACAATGCAGGAAAAGATAATACAGAGATCGTATGCAGAACATGTACCTCAGTTTTCCTCTGGCAAACGGATCCGCATTGTAATGTATGCAGGAACGCCTTCGCCATACCACCTAGTGAAACCTGAAAAAGTAATCATTATTCAACAGAAGTTTTCTACAGAGGGCGTTCAGAACTGAAATTGAACATGAACATTGATCATCAGGAAGCTTACGTCTCTCACATAAAAGCAGGCACACCGTTGAACATTTCTTTTTGAGGCAAAACAATAGATTTGCACTCTTTGAGAACCATATCGCCAAAATTACAAACCCCTTATCCACAACATGTACCCTGTTGGATGGTGCTTCTGGAGGCAGCAAATCCGCAATCCAAGTACTTCGGTTAACATAAAAAATGATCAGCCTAAATATACTTTATTATGGAGCAGAACACACGGCACTAAAAACACTTTACCTGACCAAAATCAATTTCACTAATCTAATATCTACAGCATTAATAGGAACAAATAACAAAGGCCTCATCTAATCACAGCATTGCTAGTCACGTTAATTCGCATCACAAACCTATTTTCTCCATTTCCACAACAACAAATAAACTCGTTCGAACATGGGATGATGACGACTTTCTGACCGTACGGAAGAACAAAATTTCAAACCTGCAGATGGAGCGTAGCGTCCATACCCAGTCCAAACAATCCTTTACAAGACTGGCAAACCCCGGTCGACTGCTCCATGACGATTACAGTTTCGTCTCGTCCTCTCTGATTGGAGCGGTCTGGAGCTGGCTGCGTTTGACGGAGGGTAACGCGGCAAAGAAGCGGGATTGGAGGTCAGTGGCCGCAGAGCGAGATCTCGGTGGTTGCCTGATCGGAAGTAACGGTTCCCGGGCCCAAAGAAAGGGAGAAGGAATTGTAGCGGTCTTGGAAGACGGGGTGAGGACGGGGTGCGGGCTGAGGGGGGGAGCCGGCGTGTTTGCGTCCAGAGGGCTGGCGGGGGGCGTCGCGGGGGCGAGGGCCAGCGTTTGGGGCCCAGAACGGATTGGGGCGCATTCTGGTGGGAAGTGGCGGGGCGATGGGGGGTCTGGATCGGAGCAGGCGGAGGGAGAGGAGGAGGGGTGACGCGCCAGCTTGGCGGAAAGCGGAGGAAGGGGGAGGAGAGCAGAGGACGTTGTGGGATGAAATTTCATGTTCGGGGGGAAAAAGAGGGCGCTGCCGGTTTGCACGCTTGCTGCGTTAATTTTTTTTTTTTAAATGGTCAGGTATTCCTAGAACCGAAATTTCCGTCACTGGATACATTCTAGACGGAGACTCCGTCTAAATACCTGACTATGTTAAAAAAAATTTAAAATACAGAAACCGGTCTAGGATACATTTCTAGACGAATTATTCGTCTTTAGAATAATTTATTCTAGACGGAAAATTCGTCTGAGATAAAATCTTCTAGACTGGAAAAATCTTCGTCTAGAATATTCTGTTAGGAATATGTGATTTTACTAGTGATATTGTTTCTTGTGCATTATTAGGTGTCGTGCTCCCTCATGCCGTTATAACATCTCATTTTTGTTGCATCGTATTTTCTGGCATGTTGTGTTCCTTAATTGCACAGTATTATGAATGCATAAGGCAGCCTCCTCCCCGCAGGTGCCCCCGCCCCATCATACCTGTCCTGCTAAAGCTATTCCTGCGCCATCCTGCACATCACTGTAATTTAAAACATGACAGCTGGCATCCGAAGAGAGGCCCCCCTCCATCCTTCGCAACCTCTATCTCCCCTATCATTGTCCGCCAGCGGGCAGCAACAACTCTGTTCCATGTGGCACTCGAATCCCTCAACCGTTGAGGCAGTTACCCCCCCGCGCCGCCCCCCCGCCCCCCCCAGCGCGCATACCAGACCTCTCCAAGCACCCAGCACACTTGCTCCACCCCCAACCATGCCATAGCTACACGACCACAGAGTTGAGGCAAAAAAACTATGCGGATTTTCAGTTTGAGAAATCGTTTCAACGTTGCACATCAGTTTATCTGTCAATCCTCCCAAAAATTCGAGCTGCCTGTTCGTGGTTTGTTGCTCTCTATATCTGTAAAACTTGTGAGAATGTCTGGACGTAGTAAACCTAGATAAGCAGCGAGAAACCATCCCTGGCGTGCTCTACACATCACCCTCAATGGCCTTTGCCGAGGAAGCCATAATTATGCTTTCGGTCGCTGCCCCTCCCATCCGTGATTTTTCATTGAGATTGCTCTGGCTGTCAGAGACATGGTGAACTTGAAAATTGCCAGAGCTTTGATAGAAGAAACTTAACCCAAGCCACGGCCGTTCTTGTTTTTCCCCGCCCTATAGAAATGTAGCCAAGTTATTTTGCTTTCTGAGTCTCTTCTGCTCTTCCTAAATGAGAAACTTGAAGTCAACTATTCGCCTGGAATCAATTGTCAATCTTTCCTGTAGATCCACGTCACCTTTCTAGGCTACGAAGGTCTACCCTGCTGAGAAAATTAAATCGCGGATGACATTAACTAAATGAGTTAACAGTGTCGTTAGATGCTCCTGTTTAGCCGCAAATTCTCATTCGAATCCCTCGCATGCTTCTACTGTTATCTTAGGGTTTTCTCAAAACTCAAATAGGCTGCAAATCCTGAAGGACGTTTTTAGCTCTGCTCATTCTCCATTTTTTCACTTTTAGGTTTCATCAGCATGATTCTGTAAAGCTTACTCAAGGTGCATTAGAAATAACCACACGGACTAGGTAGCTTGCGCGCTTGGTCTTTGGATAACCAAGTTACAACATGCGTAAATGAAACTACTTTTTCCAGCAATCAGCTCCAACTATAATTTTCAGATCAGCAAAAATAACACAGACAGCAGTAAGAGCATTCGTTTACATATATGAAATCTTACTTTTTCTAGCAATCCAATACCTTTCAGGTATCGCGACTAATAACTGTCCTATATATATGACCAACTCACTCTGTCAGCCAAATCTAACTGTTTCAGTCCATCCAGCGCATAATTAACACGAGTACACAGAAGAACAGCATCGTTCACTGTTCTATATTAGTATATAGGTATCTTGTAATATATTACGTATATATGATATTATCTGAGAGAGATGTGAGAGAGAATATTGCGCGTATGCTTGTACCAAGTCACAAAATTTGTGCTGCCTCGCGTATGACGCTTGAATCCATACCCTGCATCACGATCCGTAACTATGGTGGGCCATACGCCACGTGATCGCAAAGATGCGCGCGTTGAAGAGAGCTGCGGAGCAAAAGAAGAGCACGTGAACACACGTTTTTGATTTCTGATTCGCGGTACGATTCGTTCTGTGGGTTACGATTTCGTTTCGCGTTTCATAAGGTCATCGCATAGCTCATATAATACCTACTTTCTTAGGTATTCGTTTTGCGGCAAGTTGGAGGCGTTGGAAGCTGTTGGTGTGCCTGGCCTTTCTTTGTGGCTGGCGCAGCAAACACAGAGAACAAAAGTGTGCGAAGCAGTGGCTTTGGTGGCTATATTCAAGGAGAAAAGCAAGTCTTTTAGGTCTTTCTTGTGTTTTTACACCCCCTTTGAGCAGAGATTTTGGTAAGAGGATCTTGAGAGTTGTTTGAGAGGGTTAGTAGAGTTTGGAGATTGTAGAACCCTATTATCTCTCCCTCTCGGACATAGGTAGATCTTCGCCCTCTTGTCCCCGTGGACTCAGCAGGTCTGCGAACACGTAAATTGTTCTTGGCCTAGTTTGGTAATAGCTTGTAGATCTCCTCGTGGTAACGGGCCGGCGAGTCTAGAGCTGCGAGAGGAAAGAGTACTATATCTCACTTTGATGAGAGACTGGCTGTTGGTTCTTGTTTCCCTTTGACAACAAGGAAAAATAAAAGATAAAAAAAAACTGGATTCCGATTGTGATCCTAATCTCTTATGCTCTCCGCCTCCTTGTTGCACCTTTGGCGCATCCGCGAGGTGCTGCCGATCAATTCTCCGCGCTGCGCACAACAAGTGGGTATCAGGTAGCTCCGCGTTGGATTGGGAGCTCTGTTGAATGGCTTCACTCGAAGGTCCTATTTGAAGATTCAGGCACAACGATGGGGTGT